CTCAATAAAGCATGCCTGCTGAGAAGCCTTCAAGAAAATGCAATACTTTGCTTATTTATTTCAAAATTAACTCCTTAGTGATAGACATAAAAATCTCATTTTTCTTCTCATAGATGAATTTCAGAACTCTTTTAAATATACCAACACTCCCAAAATATCTATTACAAATCTGAAGTTTTTCTTTCCATGGTCACCAAGTTCTCATTGACTACAGCATATGAGAAAAGATTCATATTCTGCCTCCCAGCTGTTACAGTGAACCTTCTTACTTCATGTGTTTGGAAAGGGGATTTTTCAACAGAGGAAGTGAAGCACTAAGCCGCTCTGTCCAAGACTACACGGATCAGTGACCCTCAGCAGCATACAGACCACTGCTATGACATCACACTTTCCACAATGTGATTCCAAAAGTGCTACATACCAAATCAACTCTGGAATCATGGTCTTTGTTTAGCCGTTCTGAGAACTTACTTTTCTCTTTCCATTATTTCTAGTGTATTTTTTTTTGGGGGGGGTTGCTTTGAAGAAATTAGGAGAAATCAGATAGACCACCTGAAGTGTCTTTATTTTGCAGCAAAAACATTAGGGAGAATAGCACCCTACAGTATAAAAACGGCTTCACTGTGTCTTAGACGGTGCTTCCAATAGCACAGCTAAAGACTCATCAAGGAAGAAAAATGTAAAATTGTTCCACTGCAGTTGGAAGAACAGCCTTTAATTGCTGTCCAGAGTATAGCTAATGACGGAATGTAGAGAAGAACTTAAATAGAATGAAAAATACATGGGGAATGCAAAATGTTGCTACAGTGCACAAGTACATATAAATACCCCTAGTATCATATTCTAAACTCCTGTCAAATTATTCATGCATAACCAACAAATTTGGAAATGACAGTCAAAAGCACCATCTAGTTCTGCTTAATGAAGTCCATCACTGAAGCCCTCCCCCAAAAGGCAACTGAACATTATCCTACATTTATGTATGTTATTTATATGTCGCCCTGAAGGAGCTATAGGTGTTGACTGCATCTAATGCTCTATGTAGCTTTTGTTCATATTACTCCTTCCAAAACCACCCTTAGCTGTACGAGGTTCTTTCCTATACTAATGATTAAAAGTCAAAGCTTGTTATCCAGAAGAGTTCACAACACTTCTCTTCCTATGCAACCACACCATGGGCTCTTCCCATTCAACCCGACTGTTCCAATATTAATGTTAAAACTTCTGCTGAATCTTTTGCCAGGTTCAACCAGTGCTGTTTGGTAGGAAACAGAACATGGAATGAACAGGATTACAGGTTATGATTTTATTTCTTGTTTCAGATCAATCTCTTCAGTTCTGTTTTATTGAGGGCGAGGAGATGGAGAATTTATTTCTTGTTTCTTGCTTTCTGGTAGGAAACAGAACATGCAATGAACAGGATGCAGTGTCCCCAAAGCAACAGCTGGATTCTCCATCTCCTCACCCTCCGTTCCTGGCTGGCTGGATAGCTCAGTGAGTTAGGTATCTGGCTGTGGAGCCAGAGGTTGGGAGTTCAATTCCTCGCTGTGCCTCTTACAGGAAGAGCCAGCCTGTGTGGTCTTGGGCACAGTCTCAGGACGCATCCCAAAGAAGGGAATGGCAAACCACTTCTAGGTACTCTGTACCTAGAAAATCCTGAAAAGGGTCACCATAAGTCAGAATTGACATGGTTATTGCTTTCTGTTCCTAGCAGCTGAGCCAATAAAAGTTTCTGTTACAGATATACACACATTTTACTATTTACTATTCAATAACTTCAACAGGTTCCCTAAGTTTAAATAAGCTGAAACCTTCCTGATTATAGCAAGTAAAACATCTACATGCATGAGCTATTTCTAAACAGTATCAGAACTACAGATAGACAAGGGTCCATAATAGTTTTACTAGACCACTAAAAATCACAAACTTAAACTAGCTATTGACCTGGCATAGGCCTTTGTCAGGCTGGGTACCACAGAGGTGGGGGTAATGCAGAACAAACATAAAAGTTCCAAAAATCACGAGTAGATGAGCAGACCAGGTTCCTTTGTTTAAAGTAAAATGGGGTCCACAAACTTAGGTCAAAGTGTAAACTTCACTGCTGGCTTTATGGATTATGGATTAGATCAGTGGTCCCAAGCTTGGGTAACCCAGGTGTTCTTGGACTGCAGCTCCAGAAACCCTGACCAGTGCAACTGGTGGTGAAGGCTTCTGAATGTTTCTTCCACTCTTATTAGACAAAGAGTTGTCCTTCATCATCCCATTGTCTTAACAAGACTGGAACTTTGACATTTCTTCTTCACTATCTCCAGCTCTGTGATGACCAGCCTGCTTCAAGAACCTTCAGATTTCATCTCCGTCCGTTTCCCCCCACACCTTTTTTTAGAAGGACAGAAGACGCTTTATTAATTATTTCACATTTGCTTTTCCTATACAACTACTTGAGCAAAACTAATTGGACGAAACATACACATCATTCTTAAAAAATGCAAGCAGGGCAATGCATTAGATTCAAAAGGATTACATGTTTATGCAATAAAATCAATTACAACAGTTTCAACTTTTGAATAAATATGTACAGTACTCTTTCTTCCATTTCGCTTTAAACAAAGGAACCTGGTCCATGGACTCAACCATGATTTTTAGAAATTTTTTATGTTTCTTCCGCTTCACTCTTAGTTCTGTGGTGCCCAGTCTGTATATTGAAAGAACATTTATTGCACCTTATCTTAAAATCCACATAATATTTTCAAGATTCATAAAAGGATTTGCTAAGTTGACCCTATAAATCATAGTTTACCTTTTTAACAAAGTGTCAATGACATAGGAGAGGTTGCTGAACCAATTCCATTAGTAATAAGCCACACTGCACTTCTTGGCTTTTCTACTCCTTTCTTTTAATTTGCCTTTGCTTCTTCTTTTTAACCTTTCCTTTCATTGCAAACCTCTAAATAAGAGGACAAAGAACCATAATGAGCCTTTAAGCAATCGATTTATACAACATAATCAGAAGGCCATAGGAAAATTGTTTCAGTCGCCATCTTATGGAAACTGACATGTCCATACACATGTAAAATATATCTTTAAAAGTGTCTTATGTGGCGCCACAATAATGTGTAGCCCCCACATCCCTTTAGCTGGGATATGGAAGCAATTAACCACAGCCCTCAATTTGAGTGTAAGTGATATTTAACTGTGTATATTACTTGTTATTTATCTAATAACACAAAAAGCAAAGTGGGAACAACTGATCTGTGCACATCAGCACCCTTCTTATGCAGATCATGGTTTATTAATCATGGATTGTTTATTATCACATATAAATGTGGTAACTGTGAGTTTGCCTAAAGGACTTGTAGATAGAATACAGATCCCAGGAAACAATTTCACAAAATTTGGCAATTTTCAGCTCCTGGGGTGAAATCTAGCATTTTAGCCTTAGCATTCTGATTGTGGTTTCAGTATGCCTCCTTTATCTCCTGACTTCAGTGTGAATTACAGTACTTTCACTGGCACCTTATACCACAGGTGCACAAAGATCTATAAGAATGGAAACATCTCATCACACTCTCAAAACAATTACAGCTACAAATCTTTCTAAACTTACTTGTGAGTAAAGTACTTAGTAGATATGTGCAATATGTGTTTTTCGACTACAACTCACACAATTCCCCAGGCACCTGTAGTAATATATCACCTGCAGCAACCTAACTAGTCAAGATGGCACAGCGCTGGCTGAGCTGATAATAGGCCAGCTGAGGTTGTGCTGAATCCAAAACCCTCCCAGACTAAGAAAATTGGAAATTATGTAGGACTATCCTAACCCTGGCCTAACACTGTGCTGTCACAGTGGTTGTGAGTCTCAACTGAGAGAGCTTTGGATATGATATAACTCAGTTCCTCCCTTGCTTTTCCATCTCTTCTGCATCAGCACATCTAATAGCAGTCTGCACATGGGCAGATGTGCCAACATAAAAGGCTCCTGCCCATTCCAAAAACACTACAGCTGTCACTAAGCCTGGAATGCACTGCCAATCCAAACCTATAACTACGTACAGAATTGGACAATGAATTTATCAAATGATACACTTTTCATCTGTGGTGAATTTTTACTAGACTTGGGGTTAAGTCTTATTTTTAAAACAATAGGCAATGAATTTATCTTCATGCAATAGGATGAGCCATTTCAGCCCTCCAGAATCACATTTCAGTGACGAAGTCACAGATAATTATACCTATAAGCCATGTTTTCTAGAACAATGTCTACTTCAGAGATGTAAACAAAGTTCTGAAATTTCACTGACTTGTCATGCATTGCCAAAATGAAACAACATAATTACTGCTCTTTGTTATTGGGCCACTTTTTCTGTCCAAACCATGCTAAAGCAAGAATATCCCACACCATTTTTCATTTAATTAAGATGTAGTATATCAAGGGAACTTGCACTGGTTGTCAACAGGTGAGTTGCATGGGTTAGTTAGGTGAAATTATAGTTTTCACTGGACTCAAGAAATACAGAAAGCAAACTGGAATCACAAGCAAAATACTAACCCTAACTATAGTACCCAACACACTGGAATTATTTTGGAGTTAGGAAATACCCACAAACTCGTTCAATGTAAGTTTTTATGTTCTGGTGCCTTAGGATTTTATCTCCTACATAGACAAATTAGTTGTATTTATGACCACTCTTCTTCCAAGGAGCTCAGTAGGGCACGTATGACTCACTTGTTTATCTTCTAAATTATTTTAAAAGTCTGTCCCAAGGATTACCAGGAATAGCAATCTGCCAGGCAAAAATCTTAAGTGTTACATGTTGGAGGAATTAAAAACCCAGAAACATATGAATTATATTGCCAGGTATGGCAGATTAACAAAATGATACAGCTGGTTCATTACAGTATATGAAGATGCAAAGCAAAAGTCAATATCTAGATGGTTTCAGGTAACATAGCTAGCCTGAAACCAGATATTTTTAAAGCAGTAAGGAAGACAATACCTTTATCTTCTCGTGAATATGGCGTAATGAGTCTGCAGTCCCCATATCTGCATCCTCAGCAATACACACAATATCCAGCTTCAGTTTTGTCTCCAAATCTAGCACTTTTTGAATGTCTTTTGTTGTAACCACAATGGCCTCTAAAATGCAGAAAAGACAAGGTGAATATAGTCATAAAAATTATACATCATTTTGCTTGCCTGCCGAACTGAATGCGCCTCTGTTAAAGTTCTCAAATCTTCCTATGGGCCCACCTCTATAAACAATTTTGTGATCTCAACAGTTCTCGATAAATGGTGACAACTGCTTTGACCAATGAAATGAAATGAAATGAAATAATTTTGGCTTTTATGATAAACAATAGCTTCACTGAAGTAACTCGTAATCAATTCCAAATATGAAATCATACAATAGTAGCACTATTAGCATTCTCTATTCAAAGTGGCATGCTATGCATATAACAAGACAGCAGGCATAGCTTTATGTTCTTTCAACACATGGTTCAAAATGACCAAGAAAAGAAAAGAAAAAGCACCATGAAGAGTTATCTAGAATGTTGAGGGGAGATGTGGGAACCCCTTCAAGTCCCTGATTAAGGACTTAAATTCACACTTTAAGCAAGCCTCTAATTGTTAAGGCCATTATTTATGCATAATTTGCATGTATATACAACACAGAGAGCAGCTGTGGCACCAGAAGTTCCCAATATTTGAGGGTGGTGGTGTTCCATCAAACATTTATTTATTTAAAACATTCATTGCCTGCCTTATATCACAGGATCCCAGGGCGGGTTATGGAGCTACATAAAACTTAAGAAAAGAATTTAAAACACAAAATTAAAACATTAAAACCATTGCACTGAATACCTGTCTCCCATTCTTTTTCGAAAGAGCAAAAACAGGAGCTATGGAGCTTAAAGAAAGGAACAGTAAAAGATCCCAAGCAAATTCTGACACAACAAATTTGTAATTAAGGCACTTGCATGCAAGTGTTAGCATTAGTCATCCATGGAGGTGTCCACTGCAAGTGGGACAGAGCCCCACAATATTGTTATGGAGATGGTGTGATTATACAGATCAGTCCTATTCAGCACAGTTGACATTATCTAGGGACACAGATTCCCCATTCCTGTTATTCCGCTGTTATAATAACTACATGCATGGTTCCTTTTCTATTCTAGCCTCAAAACATTTTTGGCTGAGAGCAAGGGACCCTCACAGTCTCATAAGAATAGTATATAACAAAGCCATATGTAAAATGTTTTAATTGTGACCATTCATGCTAAGCTGAGAAAATGTAACACTGCCTTAATAGCTGTGGCCTATTCCAGCTCCCACTCTAATACCATGGAAAACATGGGCTGTGTGGTTCAAAGAAATGAAACAGGGTGCAAGCAAACACCACCTGCTATTTGTCCATGCTGAAAAAGTACTGACTGACTCAGAACATTAGACTTGCTCTTTGGTAGAGATGGGATATTTGTATTTATATATGAATATAAATATCCTACTAATGATGAGAAAGCTAAGGCGTAGCATGTGGGGACTAGAATACAACAGCTTTACAGTGCAGGATAGAATATGACCAAATAACAAGTCTAATGTTGTGAGTCAGGCAGTACTTTTTTCAGCATGTACAACTCATTCAATGGTGTTTCCTAACACAGTTCTTTATCAGTGCAGAAAGGAAAAGGCACCTTCTTATTACATCAGTGTACTCCATGCACCTCAAAATGGAAGATCAGATGCCAGCAGCCCCAAGTGTTATTGATGTTGCCTTATATTGTGCAAAAATTTAATTGTACGGTGGTGCTTCTAACATGTACAAAGAAAATAATGTGAGCAAACAACCTTAAAAGCATGTGGTGGATAAAACCAAGAAAAGCGTGCATAATATAACTACTTTGTAATTCATATAACTAAGTTTTATTCCTAGTGAAAATATATGCCCACTGTGATTTTTTAAAAGTACCTTGTCATGTTTATGTTCTGAACTGTAGAAACATTATTACCACTGCTAAACTTGTGTGCTAAATATGAAGTTACAGCGAGAGGATTTTCCATTAGGCTTTTATTTTGCTGGAAGACAGAAAATCTTGCCTATTTTATTTATTTTCCAATCTATCTCCCAGTCTCCCAGGCACAAACACCAATGCATGTCAACACCATTTCTCTCTCTTTCCAGTATTATGCACCTTTATCTCCACATATTTTAAGCTTCTGCAATGTTTGTTACTCACCTTCAAAACCAACTTGTTCTAGCAAATTGAGTGGGTACCATATCAAGGGTTTATTGCCAACAGGAAGGAGAGCTTTAGGGATGCTTGAGGTGAGATCCATCATGCGAGATCCACCACCAACTGCCATCACTACTGCTTGGAACTCCATGGTGAAGATCTGGAGGGGGGGGGGACAGAATAACAAAGAAGCAGTCTTCACTCACCCATCAACACAGAAGTGCGGAGCTAGTAGTTCCGATACACATAGGATCAACCAAATAACTCCTAGAAGCAGAAACCTCTGAATTTAACAATAGATCTCTACACAGCCTTGGGGCAAAACCAGACCAATCTCTTTATAGGGGTTGGTATAAAACAACTTTGTGCCAAAGAATGTCAACCTCAGATCTACATCCAAAACCTGAAAAGCAATGGTCGTGCTTATAAAAGTCCAGAACTCAAGGCTGCTTTAAAGAAAGATAACTATAAATTCTGGACGTTTCACGCAACAGGAGCATGGCATTATGCACTCTGCTTTAGAAACTCAAAACTCCTTATTTCAAAATGTTTCAGATCATGTGGCAAATCCAGCCCCTGCCGTATGGTGAACACATGGCGACGTCCCGGCCCTTTTCTGACCCAACGAAAAGCAGCCTCATCCGGCTTCGCCTCCTAGTCATCCCTGCTGGTTACCTGAAGCCCAAAGACCTGAAGGTCAGCTTCTCGGTCCCGATGACAACGAATCAATACTAATTGAAACAAGCTCCCTTCCTCTCCGGGGCACTTCTACGCCTGCGCGAGGAGCGACACAGGAATTTAGTTAATCATCGAGCAAACCGATGAACAACCCTAAAGAAGAGCACCGAACAATCGAACTCTCGTCCTCGCCGCAAAGGGGCGGAAAGGCGGTGCAGGAGCATCGAGCTATCGATTCCCTCGGAGGCGAAACCAGTGGAAGAGACCAGAGAGAGCGATCCGGATGCGATTCTGTTTTTTTGGAAGCTTGTTGGGACAGAGCGACATCGTCAAGCATAAGAGTGGGGATGGCTTCACCTTAATATACCGTTCTCTGTTTGCATATTAAATAAAAAGCTAAGCTTCAAATAGGACAGATGGCAGGAGAAGTCTCATTACCCCGATCAGCGATCGTGAATTCTGATCTTTTTAGTATTAAACAAAATTGTCTGCAACATCTTAAAATTATTTACTACAGAGCTTCTTATACATTGTGTGTATCTTGTAAAGAACAAATTCAGAGTACTGGTTTGGTTGCAATTCCATGTAAATTACTTGCTATATGCCTTTAAAGAGTCTCTAATTTATATCGTCGGCATAAATAGGAAGCTGCATGGAATAAATATATAGAACAGAACGGGATGTGCCTGTTTAGTAAACAAACAAAACCTTATTCTGTGCAAATCTGAGCTGTGTGTTGCTGGCCCAAATATTAAATCTGCTACAAATTTGGACTTGCTGGAGCCTGATGACTAGACGTTTATTGGAAAAAAGTCCTATTCAGTTTGTAGGTGTTCTCAAATTTAGGACTGCATTGTAAGTGGCTTAGAGCAAGACAGTCTCTGAGCCCAATATGAAGATAATACTGATAAGAGACAGAGTGTGGCCATTATACTAAGGCACTGTTCATGAGGGGCTGTGAACATTCTAATGCAAACTATGAACACTGCTCTTAATTAGAGTTATCTGTCGAACCAGAACTTTTCATGCATTCAATATTGTGCAGGGCTTTAATAGAATCATAGAACTGAATCTAGCCCCTGCCAAGGCAGGAAATATCAAACACTGTGGTCAAGATATGAATAAGTCCAGTTACTTTTAGATAAGTTTGATAACTGTACAATAAAACATTTGAAAGAAAAACAATGATTAATGTGCATGGCAGCACACACAAAGACCACATGAAACTGGCAGTTTCGTTTTCAGTATTTGGAATCTGCACTTTCAGACACCCCTTGCTTTTCATTGTGGTCTTTGTGTGGGCACTCCTAACTTGAGCCCAAGAATGACCCTTGAGGGACATTCCAGGCCCATTTCCTAGAAATCTGCCCCAGATCCAGCTGGAATACCACCTGCAGGACTTATTTTATCAGTTTTAACAGATGGAAAACAATAGAAAACTTACCTTGTTATCTGTCTAGATATTGGCCAGAATTATCCTCCATCCAAGATAAATAGCAACTATTCCCTATCTTACACATGACTGTGAGACTCTTTTGGCCAATAATATTTTGAGGCTAGAAGGGAGAAGGAGCCATGATGATGTAGGCTGTAATCCAGAAAAACTCAAACCATAATAAAACATGTAATTCCCTCTGGTACCAAAGACTTGCTTTCCCCCTGTAGCAGTTTAACATGCAACTGGCATGTAATATGGCCACTTGCTTAGAAATCTCTTAAAAGCATACCTGCAAAATATTTGGCAGAGAGGTAGCTGTTTTAATCTGTTTCAGCAACAACAAAATCAAAAATACTGTGGCATTTGTAAGACTAAACAATTTATTTCAAAGTGACCTTTTGTGAGTTTGTGGATGGGTGAAGAGGTGGAATGTATCCACAGGTCACAATGAAATAAATTTGTTAGCCTTAATAGTATTACAGTACTTTATGTTTGCTATATTTCTCTTCTTGCTGAAAAATATTTGAACATTTGAAAAAGGTGAAATAACCATTATGGTTATTCTCATGGGGAGAAGTGGGAATCCCAGTCTTGGCTACATGGATTAGTGGAATACTGGCAGGGGAGAATTGCTGGAGGCCACTGAACACAGATTTGCCCCTAGATGCCTCTTCCGCAACCAGAGATTCCCTCCATTATATAGGAAGTACTTGCTTCAACAGGAATGGGTCCTTCATTTTACTACTATTAAATATACAATCTCTTATCAAAAAAGGGCCCCTTAACCATAAATCTCTGGTATCAAGTACTTCAGAACAGCTAATAACCAGCTAGCCTACACAAGTTCATGCTACTAGAAAACAGTCTCCAGGGTGCCTCAAAAGTTTTTTTCCTGAAATTTACGGTTGTAGACATGACATGAAGATTATTCTGAATTTGCTTAGGAAGTATTTATTGGCATGAAGATTGGAATGAATTCAGTTCCATCCATATTTGCACCTTTGTGTTCTTCATCTGGAAATACCACAAATATATCAAGGCTGAAATATGGTGACAGAACTAATTTTGAGGATTACAGCCAGTTGCAATATTCCAAATGGGTCCATTCAGTCTTTACCACCAGCTTGGACCAGTCCTTAAGCACATGTTCTTGTTAAATGGATTGACCAATGGGCCCCATGTGTCTTCCACGTGGGAATGAAAAATGCCAAAAAAGTGCTATAATAATTGCTTACATTATACAAAATGCATTGTATAAAATAAGAGTTTGACCGTCTTGTGTAAGCAAACAAAAAAATCTTTTAAATTACTTTTGCTGTGAAGTTTGATGTTTAAATCAAAGAAACATTTGCAAACATGTTTTCTCAAATCCTCCCTGTAAGATTTGCATTCACTATAGATCTGCAACTTAAAGAACATTTACCTTTTGTGTGTCCCGGCAAAAAACAAGACTAAAAATATGTTGCCTTTGAGCAGTGCAAATGTGATGAATTCATGACAGTTAGGCAGGGGAGCACGTCTCCAATATTTCTCCTGAATGAGCTCTCACTGTTATTATTGAATACTGTACTTCATTTCTTTAAGGCTTCTTCTGTAACCCCACATCTGGAAGCTCTCTACACAGTATAAGTCTCTTGAGCATGTCTGAGCTAGAGTACAGCCAAAAATGGAATCCCATCCCACATGAGAGTCTGAAGTTTCAAAATTCATTTTAATTTCCGTATGGGATGGAGAGAAAAAATATTGAAATAGTATACCTTCCTTGTTTTCATTCAGAGATGTTTGGGATTTGTACAACACAAATTCAAAAACTTGCCTTTTGGAATTTCAGTACAGTATCTTAATGTGCAATCCTGTACTAATCATCTGCTGTATAAAGGACTATTACAGGGATAGGGAACGTGTGGGTCCTGCAGTTGTTACTGAATTGCAGTCTCCATTGGCCATAACCAATATGGCTGTTCATGGGGGATCGTAGTGGTTGCCCTTCAGCAATATCTGAAGGGCTACATGTTCCCCAACCTTAGGCTTAGGATTTCCCATGCCAGAAAATGTCAAATAAGCCAATGGAACCCGCCAAAGGAATAGATGTTCTGCTAGCAAAATTTTACAGGCTTGCAGAACCATCAACCCTATTCAGGTCTTGGAAACTAAAGGCTGTGGTTTCCTTTACTGAGGCAATCCATCTCATGTTTGGTCTTCCTCTAATCTCCCTTAGATCTTCAACTCTTGCCAACATCATTGTCTTTTCCAGCCATGCATTCACTTGATATGCCCAAAATACAATAGCTTCTGTTTAGTTATTTTCACTTCTAGAAATAGTTCAGGGTTGTTGGGATATACTTCCTAGGGTTTTAATAGATTTAATCTCTGTAGCTTGATGCAGTTCTATGGACATTCCCATCTATTCCTGATTATTTATTTCTGCCAAATGCATTGAAAATGGCTTTTACTCCACTTTCTAAAATTGCGGTTTCCTCATTACATTCTTCTTCAAAATTATCTCTCATTTTTTATCTCTTCAATATAATTTGCAATATATTATTTCCATCTTATCTTTATATTATCTTGGCACACCTACTCTTGCTTAGTCTTTGATTGATGGATCATATGGAAGAAATGTCTTGTAGCACATGCAGTTAAGGGCTAGAATGTGAAGTCTGAGCAAACGATATTAATTTGAAAAATATTGAAAAAAAATGCATTAGCATTTGTAAGAACAGAAAAGGCAACACCAAAAATTTTTTCTGAATACTTAAGATTGATAAGACAAAGACATAAGTCTGAAAATATTCTGTTGAAATGCCTCTTAAAATGTCATTTAAAACAGTGGTTCTTAACGTGGGCGAGAATGTGAAGTCTGAGCAAACGATATTAATTTGAAAAATATTGAAAAAAAATGCATTAGCATTTGTAAGAACAGAAAAGGCAACACCAAAAATTTTTTCTGAATACTTAAGATTGATAAGACAAAGACATAAGTCTGAAAATATTCTGTTGAAATGCCTCTTAAAATGTCATTTAAAACAGTGGTTCTTAACGTGGGCGATAATGCCCCCCAGGGGGCGATTTCATTTTTCAGGGGGGCGGTAGAACGAAAAGGGGCGGCATGGGGGCGCTCGAGCAGAAGGGGGCGGTAGGGGGGC